TCGCGTGACTCAAAGTCCTGTGGGTGTTCGTTTGTTTCTTCCTTCCTTTCTGAATGTCTTTCCATGCAGGCCTTAAAAGTAAAGTTGAAGATGAAAGAAGAAGAGAGAGCCCGGTTCCTAGAACAGCAGACATTATGTAACAGTCAAGTAAATGACTTTACAGCAGCCCTTGAGGAAATGGAACAGCTATTAGAAATGTGATAAAAAGCAAGTGACCTCCCACAGAGGAAGCCACTTAGGACATCTGCTTCTCGGCCATGACCTTCTAGGACTCACTATCCCCAGAATGGAAACATTTTCTGCAGTAGGATTAAGGACAGTCTATGCTGGAATGGCGGTTCCTCCTTTAGGCAAATGTGCGCTCCTCTCAGACTGATGGGCCCTCCTGAACCTCGCACACACAGAATGGAGACCAACAAGAGGGCCCCTCTGTCCCCAGAAGCTTGGATTGACCTTCTAGCCAACAAAGTGTACAGCAGGCCATTAGAATCAGGAGACTAAACTAGCCACAGCCAGACAATCCCAAAGGTCACATTCAGATGCATAGGAAGAAAACCTTAATTGTACCGTGGAATACAGAGACTCCATGGGAGACATCACTGAGAAGCGATGCTAACTTCTAACTTGGAACACACTGTCTAATCCTGGTTGGGCTCTAGACCTCATTGTTAAATGAATGAACGTGAAGTTACTGGAAATGGCTTAATAAGTGAGGGTGAAGGTTTAGATAGCAGTAACACCTACCTGAAATAATACAACTTGGAGCTTTTAATCTAAATCACTTCTGCTTTTATTTTTTATTAAGTGCTACTTTTAAAATAAACATTTCTGTGACTATCCAGACTGCAACTCTGAGAAATGAAAATAAGCCATTTAACTGACGCATGTCTACCGAATACTCTTGGCCTAATGCAGGGAACAAGTTCAAAACTCCAGTGTAACCCACAATATTTCTCTTCCACTTCAGTGCTCTGTGGCTAGCCCTGCTGTCTTCCAGGAGTACAGCTGGTCTTCTGAGGGTATCTGCTGTTTGTGGCAGTGGGTGCCCGACTCCATCCTCCAGTGTGTTACTAGCTGCCTGTGCCCTCTCTATATTTCTGAGCCTGGTTATCTTCTGCTCTTTGCACAGCCAATCCTGGGCCTGGCCCCATGGATCCCTAGTTAGCTAAAGTCCATGGTAGGCTTCCCCCTGGTTTACCAAAGGCAGAGCTCTATTTCATTTCTTAGTTGATCTAGGCAGACTTTGGCTATCTTCCGTGTTTTTCTGCATCTCCCAATTTCTACACTAACCCCAACCCCCTCCACTCTTGAGCATTGAGACTACCACCCAACCAGGCCAAGGTACACCCCCACCCTGACTTTAGGGCTAAATTTCTTTGCCTTCACACACAGACATTCACACAGTTGGTTATGTCCCCAAAATCAGACATACGTAGTTACATAACTCACCAGTCAAAAGGGCTGAATATTTTCTTCTACCCATTTTCAGCATGTTTATAGTTTAAAAGATTATTTACCCAAATGAATGTGTAATTGGCATTTCTGCCACCCCACCCCCCGCCCAAGTTCTACTTCTTGGAAAGAGAGCGGGAGAACTCAGCTGTGGGATCCTCACCTCCTTGTCAGGCCGCCCTAGTTAACACCTAGGAACGTAACTTCCTCAATGCCTATGACGACTCTAACCCAGCGCCAAAACCCTGTTCGCTGGTGGCCGGCCAAGGGGCCTTCGTCTCACCAGCTCCCCTCTGTGCTCCTTTGCCTTTTCTGTTGTTTCCTCCTACCTCTGTTGCTCCATCTGCCTCTCGTACTCGTGGAGGTGTTCGGGGTGATTCATCTGTTCCGTAGGCTGGATGAACTCATGTTAGGAGAAACTCAGCAGACGGTGACCCATACTCCCCACTCTGCTGGGTGTTCTAGGAAACTTTAATGGAGAATGGCATTCTTAACCTCAAAGATGCTTGCCATCTATTTGGGAAAACTTGTATGTGCAGGTGACATGTAAGTGAAATAACAAACAGCAACACTTTACTAACTGGGTTGTGCGGCATAGGTGTGTACTCTAGTAGTTCACTATGGGGTAGTTTGGTTGGGGAGGGCTTGAGGAGGAGGCAGACCGGAGACTGAAGGAAGGGTAACATCTGGAGAGGCTAGCTAGAAAGTGGAGGACATTCCAGATCAGTGAACGTGTGGAGGTTCAGGGAGAGAAGCAAGGTCAGGTCACAGGCAGCTCCGCTTCCTTTCCCCCCCACCTCACCCTCTGCATATCTTCCACCTGGCTATTCCTGAGTTACAGCCTGTGCAGTAAATAAAATGTTTCTCTCCGTCTGTAAACTGCGCCAGCCAATTATAACCCCAAGCAGGGGACTGTCATTGGAACCTCCAGGGAGAAAATCAAAGCATGAAATGCTGAAGGAAAGAATAAAGAGCTGAAGGGATATCCAGATGAGTCTTGGGGAAGTGAGTTAGGGAACTGGGCTTATGCAGAGGTTCAAGGTAAGAGGAGATGTCTGTCACTTAACTGACCATTTGTACTCTGCCATCTATGGGGCCTATACCCATGATTCCTTGCTGTATTTCTCAGGTAATCCTCATTACCATCACAAAGTAAGCACTATTACCTCTTTATGCAGCCGGGGAAAGAGACTCACAGATGTTAGGTTAATTTACCCAGGGTCAAACAACAAGCAAATATTGGAGAAAGATTTGAGCCAGGGAATATTGGGGGTGGGAGGTACTTGGTGTTAGTAGAAGTCTTGAAAGCCTGGCATTTTTATCATTTGGCCAGAGGTTTCCAAACTCTCAAGTTCATGATGCTCCTAGGTAGTGTCTTACTAATATTTATGACACCCAAAGAAGTATCAGTGATTCCATTTTGAGTGGTCAGATCCAACAACTTAGTGTAGGTACTTGAAAAAGTGTTATTTCATTTTTAAGTAACTACAATTATTCCCTAATGGAATTGTCAACACAAAATGAATAAATTCTTTAGAATCTCTAAAAGTGAGGAGGGGCGCCTGGGTGGCTCAGTAGGTTAAGCCGCCAATTCTCAGGGTTGTAGGATCAAGTCCTTCCTTATGCTCTGTGCTCAGTGCAATCTGCTCATCCCTCTCCCTCCCCATCTGCGCCCCCACCTCCACCCCACCCCCATCAGCTCCACTAAAAAGTAAAACTAAGGAGAGACCTGATCTGAAGACAGTTGCTTAACTGGCTGAGCCACCCAGGCACCCAGAGAACTCCAAATTGACTCGTTTAAAATTCTATTCTCGGAGAAATTGAAACTGCAAATAGGTTTTGATTTACTGCCCTGGGGGCAAGTGACTCCACCTTGGGCCTAAGGCTTCCTTTTTAGCACTCCTAACAGCCTTGCTGTGGGTGGTATTCATTTCATTTCAGCCTTTCATCCCAGGATTCAGGGCACTCAACTACCTGAAAAGACCAGTTCAGGGTATTAGCCCACCACATTAGAGGGGGAAAATAGTGAAGGGGGTTAGAGGCTTAATTCCATCAGCTCTCCTCTTCCCCTGTTAAGTAACAAAAATTCAACTGAGTCCATTTTAAAGATCTAATTGGCTTTATTAAACAATTCATGACTCTGGCAGCATCCCATCAAGCAAACAGAAAGGAACTCCAAGGAGGCTCAGAAAAGGAAAGGTTTTTTATTTTTTTTAACTATTTATTTATCTGTCAGAGAGAGAGAGAGCACACAGGCAGGCAAAGGCAGAGAGAGAAGCAGGCTCCCCGCCTAACAAGGAACCGGATGTGGGACTCGATCCCAGGACTCTGGGATCATGACCTGAGCTAAAAGCAGATGCTTTAACCGACTGAGCTACCCCGGCATTCTAAAGGAAAGGTTTTTAAAGGTAGCAAAGGAACCGAAAAAGGAAATTATGAGCAAAGAATTGATTGTTTCAGGCAAGATCCATCCTAAGAGGTACACAAGGAAGGGGTGTCCATCAATAAATTCCCCAGTGCTGACAGGCAACTCCCATGTTGAGTGGTTAGAGGTTACATTCCTGGGGCGGGGGCGGTGGGGGAGTGAAACTACAGTAAGGTAGTTGTCTCAGTTTCCTGATTCACAGCCTTAAGTGGTTCCACTGCGGCTCTGTGTTTTTATTTTTATTTATTTTTTTTGACAGAGAGATCATAAGCAGGCAGAGAGGCAGGCAGAGAGAAAGGAGGAAGCAGGCTCCCTGCTGAGCAGAGAGCCCGATGCGGGGCTCGATCCTAGGACCCTGAGATCATGACCTGAGCCGAAGGCAGCGGCTTAACCCACTGAGCCACCCAGGCGCCCCGGCTCTGTGTTTTTAATACTCGTAACACACTACTCTTGCTTTTCTGCACCTTCATTCCCCTCCCCCAACCCTGTTTTTTAAAAAGCCCTGATACTCTTCTTGTACATTGAATAATTTGCAAGACAGTAACTCGTTCGCATAAAACTCCAAAATCACTCAACCCTGTTACATAATAAAGCAAGTTTTAATGGCTTCTAACAGTGTGCACAACACAGCCAGCGCTCCCTACCCAATCTTAGACATCCCAGGTAGGCTTTAACAATTTATTTCCAAGCACTGGACATCTGGAGAGTTTTCCCAGGCTGTTTTAACATATAAAGATATAGACCTCTGTAGTTAGGGAGTGCTACTTCAAAGCAAGGGAGATACAACTCCTAGACTCTCAAGACACCTTTCTCGCTCTTCTACTTAGTAAGGTCTCCGCCTAGGGATGACTCCCGCAGTCTCCAACAGCGCCAACCCAGCCCCGCGGTGAGGACCCGGGATCAACTCTTCACCGCTGATTGGCTGATGTGGTGACCAAAGGCAGCGCGGCCTTCAGCCTCCCGCGGAGGGTGATAGGCTGCTGGAGACCCACCCCCTCGCCGATTGGGTGGGGGCAACAAAGCCCGGGATTGGTGGAGCCCAGGGGGCGGGTCACCGTTGCTGGAGCTGGAGCTGGCGCTGCAGCTGCGGCTCGGACTGCGGGTTTCTTCTTCCTATTCGCGTGCAAGGCCGAGATGGCGACAGTGGCTTGGCTTCTGGGACGGCGTGCGGCGAGTTGGAGTCTGCGGTCGCCGCGGGCGCAGCTCGCTAGCCACGTGTCCCAGCGGGCCCACTCCCTCTTGCCCGTGGACGATGCGATCAACGGGCTAAGCGAGGAGCAGAAGCAGGTAGGGAACCTCATCCTCTTCCAGGCCTCAAGGCCTGCTGGCCAGGCTGCATCGCCCTGCTCAGAGGTCGCCCAGACGCTCCTCTGCCCGGCGCCCACTCAGCCGCTGCAGTCGAAGCGCGGGGGCGGGGGGACCGGCGCGGGTTCGCAGCCTCCCTGCTGTGGAAACAGCAAAGCCTGGCTGCTGATTTAGATAAGGAGTCGGAGACCGGAAGGCTCCTGGAAGGCTGATGGTATTCTGGTGGAGGTTTGATGGTGTTTTGGCTGGGCCACTGGCATGTAGTAAAAAGCCCTCTTTCTGAGGTCCAGTTACCCCTGAACACTGTCTTAAGACTATGGTTCTCAAGCCTGCTTAATAAGAATCACCCGGGAATCTTTTTCGAATATTCACCTCCGGGGGCTTTGAAGTGCACTGTCTAATCTGCTATAAGTTCTTCAACACAGTTGCGTCCAAAGCACAAAGTTGAACAAAACACGAAATTGCATTTCAGGTGAGCCTGAACCAGAGCCTTCCTGGAAGATGACTGTTCTCTTTGGGATGTTGGCACAGAGTTCCCCAGGAACCGGAGTCTCCTGGCTATTAAGCAAATGTCCAAGGCTCCAGGAATTACAAAATCCATTTGTGTTTGCAGTCAGCAGATAGAGGTCTGAATCCCCTTCCACAGAAAGGGTTCAGCCCTTGCTCTCAAACTTGTCAGCCAAGAGTTTCTAATCTCTTTCAGTAATCCTTTGTTATCAAAGTCTAGGGGGACAGAAAGCCTGGCACGTGCCAAAAACTGAAGAGGGTATGGCTGGAACAGTGAATGGGCTGAGAAGGATACTGAAGAAGACTCGAAGAGTCAGTAGGGGTCCCTCATGCAGGGCCTTAGAGACGTGAGTAAGGAGCTTACCTTCTAGGTACAATGAAAAGCCATGAAATGATTTTATGTACAGGAGTGACATTTTAAAAATACTCAAGCTGTCTAGGCTGAGGACCTTAAAAGAGATGAAGATCATCTCTGAGGAAGTATAAACTGTTACAGTCTCTAAGTTTCAATCTCAAGTAACAAGGGTTACTTGTGGCCTGTTTTCCCCAATGTGTCCTCAGTAGTGGAGATGCTGTTCTTAGTGGCAGCAAGGGACTGTCTCAGTGGCATCTGTCCACCTCTCTCCCTCTAGCTTCGTCAGGCCATGGCTAAGTTTCTTCAGGAGCATCTAGCCCCCCAGGCCCAGGAGATTGATCATATCAATGAGTTCAAGAATCTTCGAGTGAGTCATGATGCCTGTGCTGGGGGGAGTTGGCTGGGAGTGGGGCCAAGCAGCAAGGGGGCAGTTTAGGGGCTGGGCTGGGTCGGGAATTATACTGCTTCCTGGAAGAGCTCATAGTCTTCTGGTAAATAAAACCTCCCTAACAGTGCAGCCCCTTCGTGTGAAGCATCTGAGTCTCGTTCCAGATGTGCCAGATGCCTGTGACTGGCTGCCTTCTCAGAGCTCACTGCACTTGACTTTTTTCTGTTGGCAGGAGTTTTGGAAGCAGCTGGGAAACCTGGGGGTCTTGGGTATCACCGCCCCTGGTGAGTATAGTTTCCTTCCCTAATGAGAACTTTTCTTGCATGCCCTTTAACACCATTTCCAAAAGAAACAGGAAAGGAGAGGAAAGTTTGTGCTCAAAGAACCCAGCAATTTCTCTTGGACCTGAGAATGTATCCATTGACTGTCAGCCCAAGGAGGAGTATACTGGTTAAGCAGTAACATCCAGAAGGCAAAGGGATGAGGCCTGTGTGGTTCACTGACTGAGAATCACTTAGATTCTTGAACTCTGCATGTTTAATAAGTTCCCCCAGCCTCCCCAGGTGATTTGAGGAGTTTAGAAAACTCCATTATCATGCAACTGTCTTGTACTTCTGTCTTTTTTTTTTTTTTAAAGATTTTATTTACTTATTTGACAGAGAGAGATCACAAGTAGGCAGAGAGGCAGGCAGAGAGAGGGGGGAAGCAGGCTCCCTGCTGAGCAGAGAGCCTGATGTGGGGCTCAAGTTTGTGTTTGCTATAAATTCTGGGATCATGACTTGAGGTGAAGGCAGAGGCTTAACCCACTGAGCCACCCAGGTGCCCTGCACTTCAGTCTAAACCATCTCCCTAATTCCTAAACTCTGCCTTACTAGTAGCCCTCTAGGCAGGACTGCTCAGGATAGGTATGTTCCTGTGGGGACTGCCTACATCCTCTTCCCACAGCTGACTTGCAGTGCCCAGTAAAGAAACAAGCCTGTGGCCTCACCTGCCAAAGCCTGGACTGTCAACACTGCCTCAGCTTGTAGTGTTAGGACAGAGGTGGAACACGGTGTTCTTACATCTTTCCTCACCACTTGGAGACGGTTGCAGGGATTTGAGCTGATTCCAGAGTCATAAAATGAAAAGACTTAAAAATGTAGAACACCTTAAGTAAAGTGGTAGAGGGAACGCCACTGGGAACTCCCAAACCAGACTGTGTTTTGGGGTTTATGAGCCCTCAAAGAAAGCCAGTTCTGGTAAGTTCTAGTTTCCACCAGGGTTGTCCTGGTGGCTCTTTCCGGTGCCACCCGCCTGTGGGCTTACCTTCCTAGAGTTGCCGGGGTTGGGCTCTCCTTTCCCTAGAGCCTAAGATGAGCCTGACTTTTTGGTCAGAGTAAAGGTGTTTAGAGCCTTGATTTAAGATTTTATTATTTTTTTAAATGATCTCTTTACCTTTCGTGGGGCTTGAACTCTTAACCTCAAGATCAAGAGTTGCATGTTCTACCAACTGAGCCATCTAGACGACCCCTTGTGCGGAGAGTCTTACCAGGGTTTTCCCAAAGAGCAAGCCTAGGGGTGGGAGGTCGTAATACCAAATGAGCCAGGCACTTTGATTTTGGATCTGTTGCCAAGGAAAAATTGGCAAGGAGCTCTGAAATTCACCATTTGTGGCACTCCAGTTCCCCATTACTAGTCTTGCCTTTTTTTTTTTAAAGACGTAATTGACATATAATATTGTATCAAATAACATGTTGATTTGATAGTCAAATCACCTATGCTGTTCTAGTCCAAACACCTATGCTATGAAAATCTCCCCTTACTCAGGCCTTTCACACATGGCGTCCTTTGTTTAATGTCCTTTCTTAGTGCTCTGACCCTCCTTCTTTGTGTTTCTTGGTTAATCCAAGTCGCCCTTCATTTATTCATCTGCCCACGCGCTTCTGTGGCTTTCTGAACAGTGGGTGCTCAGGCTCTCTTGTCTTACGTAAGAGGTTTTTCCAGAATAACCCAGGCATTTGCAACGACTGTTTTCTGAACCACCTCAGCTGACCAGAGGCAGCAGGCAAAGCCAGTTCCATGAGCTGGTAAAGCAGGGCCCATGGTGTCAGCTTATTGACCTTGCTAGAGGGTAACTTGGAGTAGGAGCTACAAGGGTGTTTCTTTGCTGCTGGTAAACATTCCTGTGACTGCCCCAATGTAATCTGGGCTGACTTTTCCATTCCACTGCCCTGTCCCAATTCCCAGTTCAGTATGGCGGCTCTGGCCTGGGCTACCTGGAACAAGTGCTGGTGATGGAAGAGATATCCCGAGCGTCTGGAGCAGTGGGGCTCAGTTACGGGGCCCACTCCAACCTGTGCCTCAACCAAATTGTGCGCAATGGAAATGAGGCCCAGAAGGAGAAGTACCTCCCCAAGGTGAGGAGATGAGGAGGGAGAAACCCTGAGGCATTCTCCCGGGTTGGCAAGGGTCAGTCAGACTTGCTGTCTACAACATGCTGCCCTCAAGCAGGAGCATCTAGCCCCGCAAAGGGTCACGGACTTGCTTTAGAATAATTCAGTCAGAAGAATTAAAAATAGGACCAGAACTCCTGAGTCACTCACTGGATGTCATTTGTGGAGCATTTGAAGAAATGGAAAACTGGGACTCGCTTCCTTTGCAGAGGGAATGGGAAAGGAGAGAGATTTTCAGTCGTATAGGTAGTGCACTTCTCTACCAGGACTTTACCAGTACCTGGTCTGAGAGAAGTCTGAAGGGGTGTCACATGAGCGGGTGAGAAGCAGTGTCGTGAGCTCCCATAGGGGACTTCTGAAGTCATAACCAGCCTTTGTGGTTTCCCTTGCAGCTGATCAGCGGTGAATACATCGGAGCCTTGGCCATGAGTGAGCCCAATGCTGGCTCTGATGTTGTCTCCATGAAGCTAAAAGCAGAAAAGAAAGGTGAGGCTCTCTTGACTTGGGAGCTTCTGGAAAGGGAGCTGAAATGCACAGAGGGACAGCCCTTCTCAAGGTGAGGGAGGGGGTGGCCTCTGCTGACTTTCCAGAACTAATTCCCAAAGGGGGCACCTTCCTGCCCAGCAGTAGGTCCATGAAGTGACTGGTTGGGATGGGCCAACACGGCTTGAGCAAGTAGCCAACTTCTTGTCATTAGGTAATCACTACATCCTGAATGGGAACAAGTTCTGGATCACCAATGGCCCTGATGCTGACATCGTCATTATCTACGCCAAGACAGATCCCACTGCTGTGCCAGCCTCTCGGGGCATCACAGCCTTTATTGTGGAAAAGGTGAGTGTAGGGCAGTGCATGCCAGGAGGCTGTTGTCTCCTGAAGTCGGTACTACAAAAGGTTCTCTCCTGCTGGTCATAGACACAACCAGTGTGTGCTAGGCCAAGGCTCTGGAGAGGGCGGGGAGGGTGGAGATAGAAGAGCTGACTGCAAGGAGAGGGGCCACATTGGAGCCCAAGAAGGATGAGTCAGGTCTGAGCATGGTTGAGCCACACAGAAAGGTCCAGGAAGATGAGGACTAGAGGGAAGCAACTGGATCTGACGACCACAGTGTCCCTGCCAGCCTTGGGGAGAGTAGCTGCGGAGAACAGCAAGTTCTGAACATGTGAACAGCAAGGCCGGGGTGTGGGGGCTTCGGGGGTGTCCAGGTGGTGGATGAAGGCTGCAGCGAAGCAAGGGGGAGATGGAGCAGGAGTTGGAATGAAAAGGCAGACATTTGAGTTTGTTTTCAAGGATGGGAGAAAACTGGGGCACCTGGGTGGCTCAGTGGGTTAAAGCCTCTGCCTTCAGCTCAGGTCATAATCCCAGGGTCCTGGGTTCGAGCCCCGCATTGAGCTTTGCTCAGCGGGGAGCCTGCCTTCCCCTCTCTCTCTGCCTGCCTCTCTGCCTATTTGCGATCTCTGTCTGTCGAATAAATAAATAAAATCTTAAAAAAGAAAAGAATGGGAGAAAACTGAGCAAATTATTTGGTAGAGAGAAAGGAATATAGGAGAGGGAGAAATTGAGGTGTGTGGGAGCAAGTGAGCCAAACCCAACAGTGAGCCATGGGAAAGGTAGGGCTGGATTACAGGTGATGGTGGAGAAGCCGCCTGAGTCATGACTGTGCAGCATGAGGGCTGGGAACCATGGGGGTTGGGGGGTTGAGAGAGAATTCCAGGAATTAAGTGTCCTGAAGGTTTGCAATACCCTCTATAGAAAGAGGGAACTAAGACCAGAGGAAAGAAAAGAGGGTAGCCCAAAGAGCCTGGCAGAGATTGGAAATTTCATGGTCATGTGGTACGACCCGCATTAGCCTGCCCGGCCACATACTCTGCCAGTCACTTGGCAATGCAGACTGCATCTGGTTAGCCTCAGGCCAAAGTACATAGATGGCTCAATTTGATCCTGGGTGGGACTCAGATACAGATGGCAGAGGTACAGAGGGAAAGGAATGGAGTTACCGGGAGAGAGTGTCCCGGAAGTGCTTTCCCCTGAGAAGAGGAAACAAAGCCAGCGAAGGTCAGGGGCTGCCCAGGGTGTGGGTATTTCCTTGAGAAAGCACTGCTCCCATGAGAAGTGGGGAGAGTGCACCTAGAGGCAGAGGAGGGTGGGTCATTAGCTGGAGCTTATAGGAGTGGGGCAGTCCTACAGAGTGGGCGCCCGGGGAGGAGGAAGCAGTGTGTTGTGCAAATTCGAGACCAGATGGGAGGGTGGGCATTTCTCAAGGGTCTGCCTTTTACTAGACGCCCTGCTTGAGGACTAGTCTGTAATTGGGGCCACCTTTTTTTCCCCCCTTAAAGGGTATGCCTGGCTTCAGCACCTCCAAGAAGCTGGACAAGCTGGGGATGAGGGGATCCAACACCTGTGAGCTAATCTTTGAAGACTGCGAGGTTCCTGGTGAGTCCCTGAGAATGGGCAAGTGCCTGTGTGACCCTTTCATAAGTTGAGAAAGTCCATCTCGGGTAAGAGAAGCTCACCATCGTCAGCTTACGACGATGCATCTAGATGATGTGCCTCCGTCTATTGTGCTTGCCCACGGGCCCTTACATGTGGGCCTCAGGCTGCCAGGCAGCTGTCCTTCTGGCCAGAGCTGCATGTCTGCCTGTGGCCACCATGAAGGCTGCTGTTTCTTATGTTACTAATACACTGGGCCTGGGGTGGTATGCCAGTACCTGGAATAGACAGGTAGGAGGTGCCCTCACCCTCTCCTGTCCTCCAGACTGCCCTGTTTGTGCGTGTCCCTGAATAGCCCACGTGAGAGATTCATTAATGGTGCAGAAAAGAAAAAAAAAAAATTCAGATAAACTGATGGAAGCCAGGCTCAGTGAAGACAAGAGAATTCATTTGGAGTATTTTTGCTTTGAGGACCAGCCAGGTTTGCTCTGTACCTCAGCCATAGACCATTCCCTCTCCCCCATGACCCAGGACCCCAGAACAGTAGGCTTTGGTTACAAGGAGCATCTAGGGAGGCCAGATCAGTGTGGATCCTTTTTGGTCAGCAGGAAACAACAGCCATCATTAAGTCAGTGGTCTACGCTGTACTGAGTGTCCTACCTACACCTCCCAAGGTCATCCAGTGCCTTGGCTTCCAGGCTAGGGAGATAGTCAGCAGATTGCATAACTGGCACTGAATGACCCACCTCTTAGACAAAGACTCTTCCAGAGACTACTTTTGTCGTGGGTGGGGGCTGGTGATACTGGAGCAGGGAGCAGACTCAACCTGGGGGACAGAGTAATTCTCAGTTTCCTTTATGGGCATGGGTAAAAAGAACTAGGGAGGGGTTGGATGGCTTCTAGACCAAATTAGCTTTTCTTTGCCATTCAAAGCAGTTGAGGAAGAGAAAGGGAAAGTCTAAAGATGGGTCCTTTGTGTCTTGTCTTATGAGTGGCGGGGGGTGTGTTTGGCACAGTGTGGTGGTTGGGGAGTCCCTCTAGCAAGGTCTACTTTTTTTTTTTTTTTTTTAAGATTTTATTTATTTGAGGCGCCTGGGTGGCTCAGTGGGTTAAAGCCTCTGCCTTCAGCTCAGGTCATGATCCCAGGGTCCTGGGATCGAGCCCCACATCAGGCTCTCTGCTCCACAGGGAGCCTGCTTCCCCCTCTCTCTGCCTGCCTCTCTGCCTACTTGTGATTTCTGTCTGTCAAATAAATAAATAAAATCTTTAAAAAAAAAAAAAAAGATTTTATTTATTTATTTGAGAGAGAAAGCATGAGCAGGGTGTGGAGAGGGAGAGGGAGAAGCCAGACTCCCCACTAAGCAGGAAGCTGGATGCAGGACTCAATTTCAGGACCCCAGGTTCATGACCCAAACCAAAGGCAGATGCTTAACCCACTGAGCCACACAGATGCCCTGTAGCAAGCCCTACATCCAGCTGGAAGTCGTAAACTCCATGTTTGTCTCTCACTTGGAACCCTAGTCGGCGGTCAGAGGTCAGGTGACATTTTAGGGCCTGCGTGAAAGCCACGATATCAAACCTAGCAGCTTTTATACAAGTGAGGAGGCTGTGGACAGCCCTCTTCCCTCTGACTGGCACTTTTTCCCGGCAGCTGCCAACATCCTGGGCCATCTAAGTAAGGGCGTCTACGTGCTGATGAGTGGGCTGGACCTGGAGCGGCTGGTGCTGGCTGGTGGGCCCCTTGGGTGAGTGTGAGGCTCCAGAGGAGCTGGGCCTTTGGCCTCCTTGGCAAGTTGTGACATCACAGCCTTCACCTTGGTGGGGGCCAACGGGACCTGCCTCCCAGAAGATGCACCTTTTCTCTTGGAAACAAAATGAACAGACCTCCTCCTCCCCCATGTACTTTTCTTCACAATGGAGGGAGATATTATCAGATGACAGACATAAGGCCTGAGTTGCAGTTCTACTTAATTATTCAGGATGAAACAGGACATACTCAGGCACTAAGACCTCTCTGCACAGGGGTCCCACTCCTCTATCTGGTGTCCGGGAAAGGGGCACACGTCCTGGGCAGTTGGTGCAGTGACTGAGCAGGGGTGATCAGAGCCCTCATGCTCCTTGTCTCCTCCCTGGGACTCCAGTTCCTTATCTTGCCAAGCCGTCTCCCCGCAAGCTCCCCACGCTGGCAGTGGGGGTACAGCAAAGTGCCTCCCCAGTGTCATCCTCTTTCCCGGCAGGCTCATGCAGGCTGTCCTCGACCACACCATTCCCTACCTACACACAAGGGAGGCCTTTGGCCAGAAGATTGGGCACTTCCAGGTGAGTGGAAGCTTCTGCTGAAATGTGCTTTCTTGACAGGGTCCAGATTGTCTTTATCAAATGAGCGAACAGGGCATTCCATATCTTTTGCCACCAAAACGAGCCTGGAGGCTTGGAACGCAGGCTCGTTTGGCATGCTACCTGGGTTGGGACCTTGTCAGGAAGTGGCCCTCATGTCCATTCACTTCCTACTTGAGATGAATGAACTAGACCTTGTAGGGCTGGTGGGGGAAGTGTGCAGGCTGTAGGCAGGCCCAGGGAAGGGAGCAGTGTTTCTGGTCATGTGTCTTGGTATGAAGTCACCTCTCAGCGTGCAGGGTTCACGGTGCAGCGGCCGCTCCCTGGGCAGCTCTGTCATCTAAGGCAAGTTAGCCTCCTAGCTATGCCCTCGAGTCCTCGGGCCTGGCTCTCAGATGGCCACTGCTGACCTGCTTTGGGTGGCTAGGGGGAGTGTCTGAAAGGAACATGGCTCCGGCGTGCTGACCTGTTGACCCCCTCCTTGTGCCCAGCTGATGCAGGGGAAAATGGCCGACATGTACACCCGCCTCATGGCCTGTAGGCAGTATGTCTACAATGTCGCCAAGGCCTGTGATCAGGGCCACTGCACTGCCAAGGTAAGGGCGGGCTGTGGGGACTCCCTCCCTCTGTGGCCCCCGGCAGGACCCTGCTGACCCCGAGCCCCCTCCCACAGGACTGCGCAGGGGTGATTCTTTACTCAGCTGAGTGCGCCACCCAGGTTGCCCTGGACGGCATTCAGTGCTTCGGTGAGTGGCCCCCACTTCCCACTCCTGGTTCCAGAAAGTTTCCTCTTCACTCCTTACGCTGTGCTTCAGCTGCTGATGAGCTGCCACCTTTAAGCTCCTTCTAACCCCAGTTACTAGGAAGACGTGTTAAAGCAAATGAGAAAACTGCCAGAGGCCACGAGGGGCTCATCCCATCAGCAATGCCTCTCTCTCACACTCCCTGCCTGGTCCTGTGAACACTGGGAAATGGGGCGGGAGGGATGCCTCAGAGGCTGATGGCCTTAAGAGTCCAGAATTGAGCCAGAAGGCCTGGGTTTGAACCCTAACCCTGCCACCGGCTGGCTTTATGACCCGTGCAAATGACTTACCCTCCCCTGGGCCTGGTCCCCAGTGAGCTCTGTGCAGTACCTTCCTGTCTGCCTTCCCAGGTCTACCAGTGGCAGTCGCCTTCTTTGCCTGGTGTCCTCAGCAATCTGGGTGGCCTTCCATTCCAGCCCCTTGTCCCCACTCCCACAGCTAGGTGTTTCCCACAGCCTCCCCTCTCAGCTCCATTTGCTGCTTGTCTTTAAATCAGCCTCTCCTCTGGCCTCTTTCTATATACTTGGCTCTCTGTTTGCTTTCCTCACTGCCCCTCACCTCCTGTTGTCCTTTCCTCTCTGCCTGAACCTGGCCACAGGTGCCAACGGCTACATCAACGACTTTCCCATGGGCCGCTTTCTACGAGATGCCAAGCTGTATGAGATTGGGGCTGGGACCAGTGAGGTGAGACGGTTGATCATTGGCAGAGCCTTCAATGCAGACTTCCACTAAGCCCAAGATCCTTCACCCCCTTTCTCAGCACCAAGAGGCCTTTCTTTGGACATAGAGATATGGCAGCTCTCCTGCTGCTTGGCAGCATTCACATCAGCCCTTGGCCTCTGCGTGAGGTCTCTACCGTGGCTGACAAGTGCTGTGGGCCTCAGAACCTGGCCCCCAGGATGCCACAAGTTGAAGGCAGACATGGGGGGGTGGGGAGCAGCATTTCTAGTTATACCTTCCGGTCTGAAGAAGCTGGAGGACGTTAATGAGGGTTGTGGTGGGTGGAGGGCCTTCCTGGAAAGTGGCTTAAAATGGACTCAGCAGGAAGCATACTGGCTGTTCTGGGGCGTCTGGGAAGGCAAGAAGCCACCCCTTTTTTGGAGGAGGAGGGGGGCTATGCCTCTGGCAGAGAGCCCAGTACCCTAGAGGCATTGCCCCTCTACATGTATTTGAACATGGCAGCTTCGTCTTTCTAGGGAAAAAAACAAACAAACAAAACCCAAACCTAGCCTTTGTTTCTGCTGATTTCTAGAGGCATCAGCTCCCGATAGCTGGTGAGCAGGTACCCTCTCAGCCACCGCTAGCGGTTCCTCCGGGCCCCTCCAGGGCTTTATTCGTTAGGGCTGAAACCCCAAGGTGTTGGGGTGGAGCTCCAGGAAGAGGCAGCTCAGAGCACCTGGGCCACCCAGACTCCACGATGTGGCAGAGATCGGCATGCTTGTGAGGGATCAGCTGCGCGCCAGCCTCCATGGCAGCACCTCTGAGCCCTTCAGCCCTGCCTGGCCACCGCCACCATCCAGTCCTGGCCGGATGACAGCCTACAGCTGACCAGGCAGCAGGCCTGGCTGGCAGCACAACTCCAGCCAAGGCCACCTGTGTACATTTCTCTGGATGCCCTATGGCTAGTTTTGTTACAACAGCTCCGCGGCTGCTGCCATTTTGTATTAAGTGTTAGGAAGCAAACCCATCTGCTTCTAAACTGGTGTTTCTGGCAGGGGGTGGGGAGCAATCTATTGCTACTGCCTCCTGTCCAGCGCTAGCCCTGTGGCCTTGGAGGATAACTAGTCCAGGTCCTACTCTGCCATCTCACCTACTCATTGGTGATGCGTGACAAAGAGATGGTATCTGCCTTGAGGACAGAAGAGGTTTCAGCCTCCCTTCCCCAGATCTCCCAGTGGTTTTTAAAGGAAGAAGGGAGTCCAGAAAGGTAAGAGTCTTAGAGGTAGAAGGAAGCTTATACATTTCTGGACACCATCCCCATGGTTTTAGAAGACTAAGACAGGGGCATCGCCTGGGTGGTTCAGTTGGTTAAGCTTCTGATTTTTGGTTTTGGCTCAGGTCATGATCTCAGGGTCATGTGATCGAGCCCCACATCAGGCTCCATGCTTAGCACGAATATGCTCAGGAATCTTTCCCCACCACCTCCCTCCCCCTCTGCTCATCCACCTTCTCACACATATACTCTCAAAAAAATAAATCAAATCTTTAAAGATTAAGACAATTTGGTTTTCCCAAGGTCAGAACTGGAGCTAGAATGCAGATCAGCAGAAATGAAAATGCTAGCCTGCAGCCCCACTGCACAGTCCAGTGGAATGGGTTTGGGTTGTTCCACTGTATCTAAATTCCCTAAGAACTGGTTTGCTTGGCTCTCGGCCCAGGGGTGCCTTTCTGACTTTAGGTCCTGGCCTGTGGCCAAGCGCTGTTCCAGCCTATTGTCTGAGACAAGTGCAGTTAGCTCCTTACCAATCCTACCCCAGTTCTATCCTGAGGGGGAAACCCAGGACTTGCGGCACTGTCCCTTTACTCTCCTCCAGCCTGCCCCCTGCTATGTTGGAGATGAATGTGGCCAAAATAGTGGTCTTGCTCACGTGCAGCCTGGAGACGTTCAGAATGTGACAGGATAGAGTGTTACCTCCAGTCTGTGTACATTACGGAGCCCTGCCACCAACTTGGGGAGAATGTGACTTTTCCTGATGCTATATATGAAAAGTCATATTTTAAAGTAAAGCTGAAAATAAAGAGTGTAACCTGAGTCATGAATGGAAGAGCAAGGGACCCTTCATTTTGGTTGTTTTGGGGTTTTTGGTTTCCATGCGTTTGGTAACTACAGCACCAGCTCCCAGCACTAATCAGTCCTGGGGCTGCTTCTAATTCCATCCACTCCAATTTTAGGCAGGTCACACTATCAGCTCAGACCTGCTATTGACTAGTGTCCCATTCATTGTTTTCCCTGGGGGATGGCAACAGAAGCTGAGAGGGGTTCTCCAGGTGTGGTCTGTAAAATGCAGATCCCTTGATCAACCGCAGACCTAATCATCAAGAACAGTTCTGAGGGGGGCACCTGGGTGGCTCAGTGGGTTAAAGCCTCTGCCTTCAGCTCAGGTCATGATCCCAGGGTCTTGGGATGGAGCCCTGCATCAGGCTCTCTGTGCCTGCTTCCTCCCCTCTCTCTCTGCCTGCCTTTCTGCCTACTTGTGATCTCTCTCTGTCAAATACATAGAAAGAAAATCTTAAAAAAAAAAAAAAAAAAAAGAAGGGGGGGGGGGGGCGGTGGGAAGAATAGTTCTGAGGTAGGGCAACCTTTTAGGACCTAGAGGACACCTCCCCAGAGGCTTAAATCCTAATTCTAGTAAAAACAGCCTTGCCTATGTGGCACTGGCCAGTCTGGATTTGGTAAGAGTAGCTCCCTGGTCTTCACAACCCCGTGGGAGACATTATTGTGCAGGGCTTCCTTCCAGAAGACGCATTAGGTGAGCGGCCCAGCGGCATGGAACTCGGCAGGGAACCAGGCGCCCAGCCACGCCCAGACGCGAGGTGGAGCCAGAGCTAGTGTCCGCGCGGCGTGGTTTTGGGTGGGGGGAATCCTCTTTAATTCGGCAGCTGGCGCCCAGCCTACGTCCGCCCGGCAGAGCCGGGACCCAGATCCCAGGTGACCATTAGTCGTGACCCCTGGGTTACGGCGGGCCGCGTGTCCTCCCTGTGCCCCGCCCAGCCGCCGAGGGGGCGCGCCCCGCGGAGCGCTGCTGGGACTCCGAACTCGGGCGCGGTTCCGCGGGGCCTCCGTGGAACTCGCCTGACCTCTGCCGGCCGCCCGCGGGGTTGCAGACGCGCAGAGTTGCCGCTCTCCGGCCTTAAGCCCGGTGCTCCGGACTATTGGATCCCAGTCTCTGATTTCGGGATGCACAGGGCTCAAGGTCATTTGTTTGTTTAGTTTTGTTTTGTTTTGTTTTGTTTTGCCTAATGAGAACGTGAGGGGAGCGGGGGAGACGCTGGCTATCCTCTATCTTGTATCGTTTAATATAAAAAAAAATGTCACTTTTAGCAATTAAAAAAAGTATGTGATGTAAACTCAGAACAAAGCCAGAGCTTTTTTATTTTTAAAATTTCGTATGTTTTTGGGGCGCCTGGGTGGCTCAATGGGTTAAAGCCTCTGCTTTGGCTCAGGTCATGATCTCAGGGTCCTGGAATGGAGCCCTGAGTAGGGCTCTCTGCTCAGCAGGGAGCCTGCTTCCCTTCCTCTCTCTCTTGCCTGCCTCTCTGCCTACTTGTGATCTCTGTCTGTCAAATGTATAAATAAAATCTTTTTTTAAAAATTTTCGTATGTTTTATGTCCGTGAGTTTTAAAATATGATAGTTTAACATGTTAACGTTTTTTTAAAAATCACCCCTATCTCCAATCCCTCCACCCCAGGACAAAACCACCCTTGAATGTTTAAGCAATTTCTTCTGGTAATGTACTTGATGCCTCTAAGTGATGTGCTTCTTTACTGATTGGCTTGCAAACACTTCCAAGGAGAGTTCTTCACTGTGCCTACACTGCACTTAGAAACAGCTCATGACATGCCGTATTTTCCTTGCTTCCTCAGCCCGGTCCTGTCCCACAAGCCAGCCTTCGGGAACCCTGGGACCAAATGGTACAGAATCCTGTTCGCATTCCTCCTGCCCACACTTAGTGCTCTTTGGTACCCAGAGCTCAGAGCCACACTAGTTCTGGCTTGGAGCCCTGCTCCACCTGGTGGCTGGGCAGGGAGCTGGTGTCTCCCACACACATCACCCATCTAGCCTATCTTAACTGGCCTATCTAAATATTTTTTGGATCCACAACAACCTGACAAGTTGTCTGCCTTCCTCCAATCCGTGTCCCTCAACCCTTCCTCTATTCTGAGCGGGAGTGAACTATCCAGCTCCCCCTAAATCTTTCAGTAGATCTCAGTACCCATAAAATCCAAGGTTTTACAAGGCAAATATGACTCTGATCCCTCTCGGCTGTCCCCTCCAGCTGCTACTCTCCCCATCCCTGCTGAGTACTTGTGTTTTGGTAGCAAATAGTCCTCAGGTGCTCTTCCTTACCCCTGACCTTTGCCCAACTGGCCCCTCTGCAAAAGATGACCTTCTGGCCCTTCGCCTAGCTCTTGTTTTCCTCATCCTGAAAGTCTCAATTCAGGGTCTGAATGTTTAGGAAGACCTCCCTACTCCAGCCCTCCCCACTCCATCTCACCTATCCTGAGCGGGCAGGGGTTGGGGGAGTGGCCTTCTGCTTCTCCCTGAGCCTGTCTGCCTCAGTGGGCTTGCTCCCCTTGTTGTATTTATCTTGTATGTGTGTTTCCTCCGAATTAGGCTAAGAACTTAAGGGCTGGGATTGTGATTCAACGGCCCTTATATGCTCACCATCCAGCACAGTTCCTGGCATGTAACAGGTGCTCAACAAATGTTTATTGAAAGAGTAGGTAAGTAGTCCTGTAACACTTAGCTCACGTTTTTCTGGTACTGTATTATTTGTGTATATGGTTCCCTCTGAGTATATTGTAAGATCTTTGAGGTCAAAGACCATTTCTTGCTTATCGGAACCCTCCCCACAGCACCCAGTGCTCACAGCAACCCCTTCATGGCTCTGTGCATACTGAATGAGTGAAACAACAGGTGGGCCAGAGCCTTGGCCTAATCCCCAGAGCTGGCAGAAAGAGCGGAGCCAGCCAGCCTCGCCTGGCCCTGCTTTCCCTAGGCCTCCTCACCCTGGAGTAGCCAGGGCCCAGCTGCAGAGGGGAGGTCCTCACCCCCATATTCCTCCGACCCACTCAAAAACAGAGAACTGTGGATGGAGGACCCTGGCCCTACCTCTGGCAGCAGAGGACATGAGTGGGGATTGGACAGAGAAAAGGGGCAGAGTTGAGCACATACCATCCTTTTTCTTTTTCTTGTGTAAAATGTATGATATATACAGAAAAGTATGTAACATGCATAAATGTAGTGTAAACAATAATAAACGCCTGTGTACCCAGCCCCCAGGTCAGTAATCCAAGCACCTTAGAAGCCTGCATGTGAGGCCTTGACCCATTTTTCCCAAAGGAGCCACCATCCTCGATTTAATGACAATCTTCTCCCCAATATCCCCCCCCTTTTTTTTTTACAGTTTCCTACCTCTGTGTATATCCCTAAACAATATTGTTTGGATTGCCTGTTTTTCTCTGTTTTCTGTTCTTTTTTTTTTTTTTTTTTTTACTTTCTGCAATTAGATTCATTCTAAATATACTCTGTATCTTGCTTCTTTGGCTTATTGTGTGGTTTTTAAAGATTCGTTCATGTTAAGGGGTGGAGCTGTAATTGGTCCAGTTTTTTTTTTCTTGTATAGTATTCCATTGTGTGAAAATACTACAAGTTAATTATCTGTGCTAGTGTGGATGGGCATTTGGGCTGTTTCCAGTTTGGGGCATTCTGGTTGCATCTTCTGGTTTCTGTGTGCAGGAATCCCTCTACGTGTGTTCCCAGGAATAGCATTTCTCTCTTGTCAGGTATGCATGTGATCAACTTTACTAGGTAATTCCAACTGTTCTCCAAAGTCATTGTGTGCCTATATTTTTTAGATTGGTGCCACCAGGGGTGACCTGGGACAGAGGTGGCATGTCCAGCCCCAGGGCCAGCCAACTGTATGAGCTTATTTTCAACAAGAGGAAGAAGTTGGCGAAAAAGTGTCCATCCCTGCTTTCCTGCCCAGGCCCATAAACCACATGGTCAACAAACCTTTAAAGACAACCTCTGAGCTGAGCACCTGCCAGGACCTGGGAGACATCACTGAGTTAGCACAGATCAGCCTCAGAGACAGTTATGTTTCTATTTACTCTGCCAAGCCATCTGACACAACTTTGCCCCAAAAGACATGGGAGAGTGAGGGCCAGACAGGCAGGTAGGAGTTTTCTGGAAGAGAGGAACAGTATTCGGGGCCCAGGAGTATCTCGGGCCCTACAGCACAAGCAGTATCTTCCCTCCAACGAAGAGGGCAGTGGATCAGTGGAAGGAGTACAGAGGGCTTCCCTCACCAGCTGCAGAGGGAGGGAAG